AAAAAAAAAAAAAAAAAAAAAAAAGTGAGGAGAATTCTTAAAGTGAAAGCAAGTTTATTAAGAAAATAAAGGAATAAAGAATGGCTATTCCATAGAGCAGCTAGTTAACTAGGATTTTAATTTAAGAGATATTAAAATTGTTAATAAATTTGTTTAATTTACAGAAACAAATCACTGATTTGTGTGTATAAGCCATGAGGGAAATATGGGACTTAATTTTGCTACAGAAGAGAATTTAATTTCCTGCATAATCAGTTTCTCCCTATTCCTCTGAATTAATTTCATCAACATACAAGGTAGAGGTTTTCTCCTGTCTTTTTTTTTTTTTTTTTTTTTTTTTTGTGAGACGGAGTTTCACTCTTGTTACCCAGGCTGGAGTGCAATGGCGCGATCTCGGCTCACCGCAACCTCCGCCTCCTGGGTTCAGGCAATTCTCCTGCCTCAGCCTCCTGAGTAGCTGGGATTACAGGCACGCGCCACCATGCCCAGCTGATTTTTTGTATTTTTAGTAGAGACGGGGTTTCACCATGTTGACCAGGATGGTCTCGATCTTTTGAGCTCGTGATCCACCCGCCTCAGCCTCCCAAAGTGCTGGGATTACAGGCGTGAGCCACCGCGCCCGGCCTTTTCTCCTGTCTTAAACAATCTCCCTCCTTTGACCCTTGTACCGCTTTGGCTATTTCCCCCCACCTTTTCCCCTTTCCAGTAAAACTCTCTAGGACAAGGGTAGGCTGTGCTCACTGTCCTCCGAGTCTTTGGGATTCACCCACACTGGGCTTTGCCCTGTTGCCCCACCCAGACTCCTAGTGGGAAAGGTTATGTTCATGTTGCGGGATTCAGTGGCCTGAGCCGTCACCTTACCTGACCTGGTTTTAGCATTGGACATGGTTGTAGACTTTCTTCATTGGCTTCCAGGATACTATACTCTCCAAGTTTCTTTCTCTTTTCTTTTCTCTCTTCCTCTCTTTCCCCCTTTCCCCTCCCTCCCTCCCTCCCTTCCTTCCTTTTTCTTGCCCTCTCTCTCTTTCTTCCTTTTATTGAGATACAGTTTCCCTCTGTCACTCAACTAGAGTGCAGTGGTGTGATCTCAGCTCATTGCAGCCTTCACCTCCTGTGCTCAAGTGATTTTCGTGCCTCATATTCCCAAGTAGCTGGAATTACAGGTGCCTGAAACCATGCCTGGTTGTATTTTTAATAGAGACAGGGTTTCACCATGTTGAACAGGCTGGTCTCAAACCCCTGACCATAGGTGATCCCCCCGCCTCAGCCTCCCAAAGTGCTGGGATTATAGGCATGAGCCACTGTGCCTGGCCAAAATTATGGTGACTTCTAAGAAGGTCTAATTTTTTTAAGAGTTAATGATTGTCACCTGGGCAACATAGCAAGATGTTGTCTCAAAAAAAATACAGAAAATATTAGCTGAACATGGTTGCTTATGCCTATAGTCTTAACTACTTGGGATGCTGAAGAGGGAGCATTGCCTGAGCCTCAGAAGTTGGAGGCTGCAGTTAGTTATGATTGTGTCACTGCACTCGCCTGGGTGACAGAGTGAGACCCCTTTTCTTTAAAGTAGGCTGGGTATGGTGGCTCATGCTTGTAATCACAGCACTTTGGGAGGCCAAGGCGGGAGGATCACTTACGGTTAGAAGTTCAAGATCATCCTGGCCAACATGGTGAAACCCTGTCTCTACTAAAGATATAGAAATTAGCCTGGGTGTAGTGGCACATGCCTGTAGTCTCAGCTAATTGGGAGGCTGAGGTGGGAGAAATACTTGAACTCAGGAAGCAGAGGTTGCAGTGAGTCAAGATTAAGCCAGTGCACTCCAGCCTGGGCAACAGAGGGAGATTTTATCTCAAAAAAAAAAAAAAAAAATTAATGATGGTAAGCTGAAATATAGTGTTTCTAATACAATTTTGAGCAATTTATAGAGTTCACTGTTTTTTTTAAGTGAGAAGGTCTTGCTCTGTTACCAAAATAAAAATAAATAAATAAATTTTGTATATAATTCACCTACAATTTTTTTTTTTTTTTAAAAGATAGAATGTTGCACTGCTGCCCAGGCCGGAGTGCAGTGGCACAATCTCGGCTCACTGCAACCTCCACCTCCCAGGTTCAAGTGATAAGCAAGTCTCCCGATAGCCTCCCTAGTAGCCGGGACTACAGGTGTGCATGCATCACCATGCCGGGCTAATTTTGTATTTTAATAGAAAATTTTTGTATTTTTAATAGAAAAATAAAAATTCTATTATTTAATAGGAAAATAAAAATTCATGGAGGTGGCTGTGCTTGGCCACCCCCATGGATTTAATACTTCTGTTTTTTCTAATGTGAATTGTCAGTTTCATATTACTTGTTTGTTTATAGGGATTTAACATGCTTGCATAAGCTCATAACCCTTTATGGTGAATCATACTGATTATATATTAGTATATTAGATTCTCTTTTATGCTAATTTTGATTTTTTAGCATATAGAAATTTTTGAAGACCTTCAGAACATTGCATTTATGTCCTTTCTTTGTGGGTAATATTTTCTGTGTGTCATTGCTCTTTTCCAGGCACCCCACAGGAGGATCATTTATTCGTCCGAAAAAGGTAAATTTTGGAATAGACTTTCTTACTGCAGTTAAGAACCGCTATGTGTTAGAAGATGAACTGGAGGAAGATGGAAAAGAACAAATTGTTACAATTGGAAATAAACCTGTGGAGACTATTGGTTTTGACTCTATTATGAAACAGCAAAGGTAAGTGGAATTTATAATGGCAGAGCTGACTTTATGGTTTTATTAAGGTTCAGAATTGAAATTCCATGGCTGTGTGTGGATGCTAAGGACTTTGCTTCTAAACTGGTTTATGCTTTCCACAGAAACTGAATCAAAATCTGAGGAATCCAAGGATTATTTAGGGAAATAAAAATTTTTATTTTAGCACAAGATTGGTAGATTTTTCCAGTTTGCAATTGAAACATTTATTGGTCCATTGTTAATATTCACATCATATTATCTTGTGTTGACTGATTAAGTAACTAAGGCTGATATTTGTGTTCTTTTCTATTTCATGGTGATGGTAAGTTGGGAATGGAAACAGCAGTCTGAATTGTTCCCTATGCCGTGGAGCGTGCTGGTGGCATTTTTTTTTTTTTTTTTTTTTTTTTTTTTTTTGTCGAGGCACAGTTTTGCTGCTGTTGCCCAGGCTGGAGCGCAACGGCACAATCTCGGCTCACCATAACCTCTGCCTCCTGGGTTCAAGAGATTCTCCTGCCTCAGCCTCCCCAGTAGCCGGGATCATAGGCATGCACCACCATACCCGGCTAAATTTTTATTTTTAGTAGAGACAGGGTTTCTCCATGTTGGTCAGTCTGGTCTCAAACTCCCAACTCAGGTGATCCACCCACTTTGACCTCCCAAAGTGCTGGGATTACAGGTGTGAGCCACCATGCCCAGCGGTGCCATCTATTAATAGTAGGGAGTAGTTTCTGCCTCTGGCTGCACAGCTTCGTCACCTGGAGAGCTGTGAAACATGCAGCATCTTTGTCCCATTCCAGATCTGCTGATTCAGAATTTTGGGATATGGGCTCTAAATAATGCATTTTATTTTATTTTATTTATTTTATTTTATTTTTATTTTATTTTATTTATTTTATTTATTTTTTGAGATGGAATTTCACTCATGTTACCCAGGCTGGAGTGCAGTGGCGCGATCTCGGCTCACCGCAACCTCCGCCTCCTGGATTCAGGCAATTCTCCTGCCTCAGCCTCCTGAGTAGCTGGGATTACAGGCACGCACCACCATGCCCAGCTAATTTTTTGTATTTTTAGTAGAGACGGGGTTTCACCATGTTGACCAGGATGGTCTCGATCTCTTGACCTCGTGATCCACCCACCTCGGCCTCCCAAAGTGCTGGGATTACAGGCATGAGCCACCGTGCCCGGCCTTATTTTATTTTTTTGAATTTTTCTTTCTTTCTTTTTTTTGAGATGGATTCTCGCTCTGTAGCCCAGGCAGGAGTGCAGTGGTGCAATCTCCACTTACTGCAACCTCTGCCTCCTGGGTCCCAGTTCAAGCAGTTCTCCAACCTCAGCCTCCCAAGTAGCTGGGATTACAGGCATGAGCCACCATGCCCAGCTAATTTTTGTATTCTTTAGTAGAGATGGGGTTTCACCATGTTGACCAGTCTGGTCTTGAACTCCTGACCTCTTGATCCTTCTGCCTCGGCCTCCCAAAGTGCTGGGATTACAGGCATGAGCCACCGAGCCTGGCCTATTTTTATTTTTATACAGACAGGATCTTGCTCTATTGCCCAGGCTGGTCTTGAACTCTTGGGCTCAAGTGATCCTCCTGCCTTGGCTTCCCAAAGCACTGGGATTACAGGTGTGAGTCACTGTACCCGGCCTTAAAATAATGCATTTTAAAACTGCTGCATGAGAACATTCTCTTTTCTCTGAAACTATATATTGTGACATTGTACAAGGAGGCTTACCAGTCATTCTATGAACTGCTTGAATCAAAGAGAGAGGAAGTTAATATTTACACAAAACCAGTCTGGCTGCACAAGAACTGGCCAGGCCTTGCAGCTTACTGTGGTGACTTCGATGAGGTAGCTGGGTGAGGACCCCTGGTGGCCACTGTGAGAATAAATTTATGGCCTCTTGTAGGCCTGCAATATATTTTCTTTCAGCCTCTCAAAGAACTGGCCGGGAGTAGTGGCTCACGCCTGTAATCCAAGCACTCTGGAGGCCAAGGCAGGCAGATCACCTGAGGTTGGGAGTTCAAGACCAGCCTAACCAACATGGTGAAACCATGTCTTTAAAAAAAAAAAAAAAAACAAAAACAGAATTAAGCTATAGTTTTTTCCAAAGTAAATTCCTTTGCTATCTTTTGTTATTGTTGTTATTAATAAAAGTGCATATGAGGACAATGTTGAAAGTAAAATAAATACATTTCTTAGCACCTCTACTCTTTAACATATATGGCACCCGTTAAAAAAAAACCTCAACTGGGCACAGTGGCTCACGCCTGTAATCCCAGCACTTTGGGAAGCTGAGGCGGGTGGATCACAAGGTCAGCAATTTGAGATCAGCCTGGCCAACATGGTGAAACCTCATCTACTAAAAATATTAAAAATTAGCCGGGCATGGTGGTGGGCGCCTGTAATCCCAGCTACTCAGGAGGCTGAGGCAGGAGAATTGCTTGAACCTGGGAGGCAGAGGTTGCAGTGAGCCGAGATTGTGCCATTGCACTCCAGCCTGAATGACAGAACAAGACTCTGTCTGAAAAAAAAAATCTCAGAATAAATCAAGAGTTTTAAAGGAACAAATGGACTTCCTTTAATTATAAAAGAAAATACGTTTATTGTTGATAATATAGAAATTACAAATTGAACAAAAAAGTATCATGACTAATGCCACCACTTAAGCATCGTGAATGGGCTGGGTGCAGTGGCTCATGCCTGTAATCTTAGTACTTTTGGAGGCCATGGTCGGAGGATCATTTAAAACCAAGAATTTGAGACTAGTCTGGCCAACATTGTGGAACCCTGTCTCTACTAAAAACACAAAAAATTAGCTGGGTGTGGTGGTACACGCCTGTAGTCCCAGCTGCTTGGGAGGCTGAGGCAGGAGAATTGTTTGATCCTGGGAGGCGGACGTTGCAGTGAGCCAAGATCGTGGCGCTCCACTCCAGCCTGGGTGATAGAATGAGACTCTGTCTCAAAACAAAAACAAAAAAACCTATCATGAACAGTTTTTACTGTTTATCCTACTGATTTACTTGGAATTAAAGAACTATATGCTTCATAGGGTTAGAGTTCTTCCCTTTATTTTCTATTTTTTACTGTTATTAGTGCAAGATATTTTTTCCCACTTAAAATACAAATAGCCTGGGCAACATGGCAAAACCCTATCTCTACAAATAAATACATACATACATATATACATACAAAAATTAGCTAGGTGTGGTAGTGCATGCCTGTAGTCCCAGCTATTTGGGAGGCTGAGGTGGGAAGATCTCCTGAACCCTGGAGGTCAAGGCTACAGTGAGCCATGATTGCACCACTGCACTCCAGCCCGGGTGACATATTGAGACCTTGTCTCAACAGATGAACAAACAAAAAGACACCAAATATTTAAATATCTCTTATCCAAAAGAAGAATTTTTTTTAATTGGCTAATCTCTTTTAGAGAATATTATAGGCTCTAAGAATATATATATATATTTTTAGACAGAGTCTCACTGTGTCACCAAGCGCCAGGCTGGAGTGCAGTGGTGTGATCTTGGCTCACTGCAACCTCTGCCTCCCGGGTTCAAGCAATTCTCCTGCCTCAGCCTTCGAGTAACTGGGACTACAGGTGTGCACCACCACGCCCAGCCAATTTTTGTATTTTAGTAGAGACATGGTTTCACCACGTTGGCCAGGATGGTCTCAATCTCTTGACCTTGTGATCCGCCTCCTCGGCCTCCCAAAGTACTGGGATTACAGGCGTGAGCCACCGCGCCCGGCCGGGCTCTAAGAATATTGACAAATTGAAAACAGATTTTCATCCCCTAGTTTATGAAGGACTACGTAATTCATGAATTTTTCTGTAAATGATCCCATGTTTTGGGTATCGTTGCGTTTAATAATTAGCTAGTGCCTTTCTTGATTGAAAAGATAAAATTTTAGAGATTCTGGAGCAATCTCATATGTTGGCTGGAGCTTAGTAAATAGTGAGACAGCTTGGTAGCATGTCGCCACTGTTGGAGTTAGGCTGGGTTCAAACGCCAGCTAAGGCACCTTTGACTGACAGAAGTTAGAGGTGGCTACTTATTGTTTCTAAGCCTCAGATTCTTCAATTACAACATAAAACCTAAGATACAAGTGCTGTCGTGAATAACAAATGAGATCCTGCAATTAATGTTAGCTGTCATTGTTAGGAGTTGAAACCTCTACTTTAAGCCATTGTCTTATCTCCTCAATAAAATCCAGCATTTTTGAGATTATATCAGTAAGAGAAGACATTCAATAAAGGAATCAAAAACAAATTTAAAAAACAAAAACATTATGTATGGCTTCTCCTGGAGATGACTTTGGCTCTGGAGTGATGCTTGGATTGAGATCTGAGTCCCCACGCTTAGTGTCAAGTTGTCCTGGCAAGGCAGGCAATTTTGAATTTTAGAGGAAAGGAGCGACATCTGTTGGACATACTGAAAACTACAGTTTGAAGCAGTTCCGTGAGATTCCTGTAGTTCTTTTCTGGGATGTCATATGCCTACAAAGCTGGCTTCTGGGTGATTGCTGCAATAAAATGCATGTATTTATGTACATCTATCATGCATCAATAAAAATATTTGCTTTACAACAAAGCAAGTATCTCTTAAATCAGTGTGGAACAGGAAATGGAGTTGGTGGCGTCCAGTCTGATGCCAGGGTGTGGGAAGTTGAGCAGTGCCCAGCAGACACTGAGTTAATAGGACATAAGTAATGATTAAGTTGTTTTGCCCTAACTACATACTTAATTGGAACTGTGAGGTATTTAGTTTGGCCTAAGTACCATGAAAAAATTACTGAAACCCCAATGGTCTTGTGGCCTGAGAAAGTTTGGGACCCTCTACCTATGAATTCTGCTGCTGCCTTTTGTACTCTAGTTTTTCATGATTGTAGTAATTCATGCCTTGCATTTTCATCTTGGTGTTTCTCCCAAATGTTGTTAGGTTTAAAATTTTTTTTTTATTTTTTGAGACAGTATCATGCCTTTTGGACCCTAGTTTTTCATGATTGTAATAATTCATGCCTTGCATTTTCATCTTGGTGTTTCTCCCAAATGTTGGTAGGTTTTAAAATTTTTTTTATTTTTTGAGACAGTATCATTCTGTCACCCAGGCTGGAGTGCAGTGGCACAATCTTGGCTCACTGCAACCTCCACCTCCAAGGTTCAAGTGATTCTCCTGCCTTAGCCTCTCAAGCAGCTGGGACTACAGGTGTGCACCACCACACCCAGCTAATTTTTGTATCTTTTTTTGTAGAGATCAGGTTTTACTATGTGAGCCAGGCTGGTCCCAAACTCCTGGTCTCAAGTGATCTGCTCACCTCATCCTCCCAAAGTATTGAGATTACAGGTGTGAGCCACTGCACCTAGCCCGGTTATATTTTTATAAATACTTATCAAGTGAATTACAGTATGTCAGACAGTCTTCTGAGAGCTGCACAAATATTAACTGGCCAATATTATTTTAGCATTTAAAATTTTGTAGTAAAATACACATAACATTTATAACCTTTTTTTTTTTTTTTTTTGCTGGAGAGCGATTTATTAGAAAGCGAGAGAGACAGCTCCCATGCTGTTGTGGGAGGGGAACCTGGAGCCGGATATCCCTATCATAACCATTTGTAATTAACAGTTAGTGTTAACTATATTCATAATGTTGTGTAACCAGTGTCCAGAACTTTATTTTACTTGTTGAGTCGGAGTCTCTCCCTGTTGCCCAGCCTGCAGTGCAATAGCATGATCTCAGCTCACTGCAGCCTCCACTTCCTGGGTTCAAATGATTCTCCTGCCTCAGCCTCCTGAGTAGCTGGGATTACAGGTGTGCGTCACCATGCCTGGCTGGTTTTTATATTTTTGGTGGAGAAGGGGTTTCACCATGTTGGTCAGGCTGGTCTCGAACTCCTCACCTTGTGATCTGCCCACCTTGGCCTCCCCAAGTACTGGGATTACAGGTGTGAACCACTGCGCCTAGCCTGGAACTTTTTCATCATCCCAAACTGAAACTCTATGTCTATTGAAACACTAACTACTAATTTCTTCTCCCGTTAGCCCCGGGCAACCTCCAATCTACTTTCTGTCGCTATGAATTTGACTACTCTGGAACCTCACATAAGTATTTGTTCTTTTGTGACTGGCTTATGTCACCTAGCATAATAAACTCAAGGTTCATCCACATTGTGCGTGTGTCAGAATTTCCTTCCTTTTTGTTAAGTTCACACAATATTGCGTTGTATATGCATGCCGTGTTTTGTTTGTCCTTTGATTTGTTGATGGACAGTATGGACACGGGTTGCTTCCACCTCTTGACTGTGAGGAATAATGCTGCTGTGAACTTCTGCATATACCGCAGCCTTTTAAAGATAGGAAGTCTGAGGTACAGAGTTGTTAATCACTTGCCCAAAGCCAAAGGAGATGGTGGAATTAGGATTTGAACCCAGGTGGTCTGGTATATATGTGGATTCTTTTTTTTTTTTTTGAGATGGAGTCTTGCTCTGTTGCCCAGGCTGGAGTGCAGTGGTGTGATCTCAGCTCACTGCAACCTCTGCCTTCCGGTCCAAGCGATTCTCCTGCCTCAGCTTCATGAGTAGCTGGGACTACAGGCACATGCCACCATGCCCAGCTAATTTTTGTATTTTTAGTAGAGACAGGATTTTCACCATGTTGGCCAGGATGGTCTTGAAGTCCTGACCTTGTGATCCACCCACCTCGGCCTCCCAAAGTACTGGGATTACAGGCATGAGCCATCGCACCCAGCTGGATCCTTTTCATGAATAGAAAACACAGATTCTCTATAAACAAATGGCTGCCAGAAGTATCTGGTAATGCTGAAGCTGGCACTCTCCAGGAAGTACCTTCGAGAGGCTTTTACGTGCGAGTGTAAGAAGCACTCCGTAGCGTGTACTTCTGCACTACGTGCATAGATGCCAGAAGGGTATCTCCATTCACTGCGGTCTGTTTCTATAACAAACACTGTAAGGTGTGAAGAGGAATGTTCTGGAGTGCCAGGTGTCACCGTAGCGAGACCTCGCCACTGAACAATAGACTGTTGAGGAAAAGGTCAGCTGCAGAAGGCTCTGCAGAGTAGAATGCCATTTATATCAAGTTTCAGAATATTCAAAAATGCTATACTTGTTTAGAGATAAGGAAATATATGGCAAAAATATTAAGAAAGGCTTAAGATTTAATAAACTTCAAATGTAGTAGAAGGTTACCCCTGGGGAAGGCCGGGCATGGTGGCTTATGCCTGTAATCCCAGCACTTTGGGAGACTGAGGTGGATGGATCTCTTGAGGTCAGGAGTTCAAGAACAGCCTGGCCAACATGGTGAAACCCCTTCTCTACTAAAAGTACAAAAATTAGCCAGGCATGGTGATGCACATCTGTATACCCAGCTACTCCGGAGGCTGAGGCAGGAAAATCGCCTGAACCTGGGAGGCAGAGGTTACAGTGAGCCGAGATCTTGCCACTGTACTCTAGCCTAGGCAACACAGCGAGATTCCATCTTAAAAAAAAGAAAAAAGTAACCCCTGGGGAGTAGAGGGAGAATTGTGTTATGGAGAGAGACCCAGAGGACTTCAGCTGCATTTGTAATGTTTGTAGTGCTCTTTTTATCTTTTTTGTAATGCTTTATTTCTTAATTTGGGTGGCAGTTACTGGTATTTGTGTATTATTTTTGGCGCCCTTTTCTATGTCTGAAATGCTGTTTAATTTTTTAAAGGGCCAGTGGATAGCATACATGCTTATGTATCCTTGTGAACTCTGTTTTTCATGCAGTCAGCTGAGCAAGTTGCAAGAAGTTTCTCTGAGGAACTGTGCAGTAAGTTGTGCTGGTGAGAAAGGAGGAGTTGCCGAGGCATGTCCCAGTATCCTTTTCACCGAGAGCTTGTTACTGGAATCTGGCTTTGGATGTGATGTCTGTGCCAGAGACTGCTAGCTGCCCACCCATCTCCACTCTTCACAGCATCCTTCTTCATGCATTTCGGTTTTGCTTGGTGCACTTGGGGCCCAGATAAATTATATACCTTCCCAGACCCCTTTGCTTGCAGGTTTGCCAGCATGACTTCCCCAGCTGTGGTGGAAGTTTCTAGACCAGGCTCCTTGAAAGGGGCACACTTGGCCAGGCATGATGGCTCACGCCTGTAATCCCGGCACTTTGGGAGGCCAAGGCCGGTGGATCACAAGGTCAGGAGATCAAGACTATCCTGGACAACGTGGTGAAACCCCATCTCTACTAAAAATACAAAAATTAGCTGGGCGTGGTGGTGCATACCTATAATCCCAACTACTCAGGAGGCTGAGACAGGATAATTGCTTTAACCTGGGAGTCAGAGGTCACGGTAAGCCAAGATTCCCCTACTGCACTTTAGCCTGAGCCACAGAGCAAGACTCTGTCTCAAAAAAAAAGAAAAAGAGAGCGCACACTTGGTTGGCCTCTGCCTTTTGCCTGTTGCTTTTACCCTTCTGCCTGCCTTGAGCAGATGGAGTGTCCAAGGTTTCGGCAGCTGTCTTGCAAGTATGAAGAAAGCCATCCAGTACAGATTGGGAGAGCAGAGGACAGGGAATCTGGGCTCCTGTGTCCCGGGGCCCCTGCTTCAGCCCTGGTCTGCCTTCTCATATGGGTTTTTTTTTTTTTTTTTTTTTTGAGACAGGCTAGACTGTTGTGGCGTGATCTCAGCACAGTAACCTCTGCCTCCCAGGTTCAAGTGATTCTCTTGCCTCAGCCTCCCTAGTAGCTGGGATTACAGGTGCCTGCCACCATGCCCAGCCAATTTTTGTATTTTTAGTAGAGACAGAGTTTTGCCATTTGGCCAGGCTGGTCACAAACTCCTGACCTCAGGTGATTCACCTGCCTCAGCCTCCCAAAGTGCTGGGATTATAGGTGTGAGTCACACGCCTGGCCTCATGCAGTTCTTATTAGTAGGAAAGACTCTGGTTCTGGTTCCATGCAGCTGAAGGCAGTTTGTTGTAATACCCCAAAACAGGCTCCTTCTGAAGTTTGGAATCTCTTTTCTCTACTTTCTCTTATTAGTGGGTTTTTTTTTTTTTTTTTTTTTTTTTGAGACGGAGTTTTGCTCTTGTTACCCAGGCTGGAGTGCAATGGCGCGATCTCGGCTCACCGCAACCTCCGCCTCCTGGGTTCAGGCAATTCTCCTGCCTCAGCCTCCTGAGTAGCTGGGATTACAGGCACGCACCACCATGCCCAGCTAACTTTTTATATTTTTGGTAGAGATGGGGTTTCACCATGTTGACCAGGATGGTCTCGATCTCTTGACCTCGTGATCCACCCGCCTCGGCCTCCCAAAGTGCTGGGATTACAGGCTTGAGACACCGCGCCCAGCCTATTAGTGTTATTTTTGTCGTATGTTGCTTTTCTGCTGACAGCAAAAATGTAGGAGGTAAGTTAAAATTTCCAGGATGGACATGGTGGCTCATGCCTGTAATCCCAGCGTTTTGGGAGGCTGAGACTGGAGGACTGCTTGAGGCCAGGAGTTTGAGACCAGCCTTGGGAACGTTGCGAGACCTTGTCTCTAAAAAAATTAAAACAAAACTGGGTATGGTAGCTTGTGCCTGTCATCTCAGCTACTAGGAGGCCGAGGTGGCAGGATTGCTCGGGAGTTTGAGGCTGTGATGAGCTATGATCGTGCCACTGTACTCCAACCTGGGTGACAGCTAGACCCTGTTTCTGTTGAGAAATTTCCCATGGAAACCAAAAGGCCTTTTCCCAATTCATTAAGTCTATCTGATCTCTACATAATAATTTTTGCAAAAAATATCAGTTTTGATCAGTTTTTCCTGAGTGAAGAGATGCCAGGTGAAATAGCTCTCTTTGGCAAAATGCCCCAACAGTGCAGTGAAGGAAATTAGACCAGAACTCTTCCAATCTGTGTGTCTGAGGTTTCAGTTATCTTGGGGGAAACAGCTTGGAGGTTCCACTCGGACCTGTGGTAACTGCGACATCCAGCGTCTGCCCCTAAGCAGCCTCCTCCGTTGACTCCAGTGTGCTGCAAATATGTGGTCATTTTCAGAGGTAGGCAGCTGGAGTTAGGGGAATTGAAGTGGATGCAGAAAAGAGTTTGCTAAGGATCGCTGGGCACAGTGGCTCACAGCTGTAATCCCAGCACTTTGGGAGGCTGAGGTGGGTGGATCACGAGGTCAGGAGTTTGAGACCAGCCTAGCCAACATGGTGAAACACCATCTCTACTAAAGATGCAAAAAATATAAAATAAAATTAGCCAAGCGTGGTGGTGTGCACCTGTAATCCCAGCTACTTGGGAGGCTGAGGCAGGAGAATCACTTGAACCTGGGAGGTGGAGGTTGCAGTGAGCTGGGATTGCGCCACTGCACTCCAGCCTGGGTGACAGGGTAAGACTCCGTCTCAAAAAAAAAAAAAAAAAAAAAAAAAAA